CCACTCTTCCCAGTTTCGTCATGTGACAAGATTGAGAAAGCAGACAACAGATGGACAAATCAGATGATTTAATGGTACCGCCGTTATACTCAAGAAACAAAAAGAAGGCTTCGGATAAGGTAAAAGGATTCTCTTGAACAGATATACATTATATATAATCATGCGGATGAAAGCAGAGCAAATTAGAAAACGAACAGAAAAAACTGTCGGCTGTACCAATGGAGAGAAGAAACGCTGCAATGAAATATCAGCTGATCAAACAAATAGAATATATCCTTTAGCGTTCAATCTTTCCAGATATTTATAGCTGAAAATGAAATAAAGAATGGCAATACCTCGTATCAGCCGACGTTCATATTCCTGTTGCTGCTGCTGTTGCTGCTGTGCCTGCTGCATCAGTTTCACTGTCATGGCATACTGCAAAATGATCCAGCAAGCAGTTATACGAATACAATTTATGCATATTTTGGTCAAAAAATGGTAAACTATTTCAGGACTCCGCATTTCCGAATGGCAATTTACTGAAAACAATGAAAAATCTGCGAAATATCCGAAAAATACACTCAAATAATAACAAATCCAGGAAAACGATCGGGCAAGGCTGATTTCTTGACGAATGAACAACAGCAGAATTATCTAAGCAATTAAAAAATGGGGGAAATTCCCCAGCACCAACCTGTACACCGGGATCCAACGCTGCAAGTTGATGGTAGAATGATGCAGCAGCTGCTAGCTGGGATATATTTGCATCCGGTGTTCCAGCACCCGGGAAAGCAGCAAGTGGATTTGGGCTACCTTGTAGGAATGGAAGTGCCGCTGCAACTGCAGCTGCAGTTGGTTGCAGTGTCGGCGTAACAGCAGCAGTTGGAGCTGCTGCTGCTGCTACAGTTGTGGCAGCAGCACCAAGATCAGCAACTGGCGCTACTCCTGATGCAAATTGCATTTGTCGAACTTTTTCTAGCATCGAATCGTACACTGTTACTCCCGCTGCTGCTGCTGTTGCTGCAGCTGCAGCCGCCGTAGCCGACTGCGATTTCATCACCGGTGTTCCTGAAAATGTTAATTCCGCAATTGTATTTTTCATTGCATCCTTTATCTTATGTTTGAAACACATGCAATACGGGAACAACTATTAACAATAATAGAAAGTTATGATAGGAAATAATGGGAAAAAGAGAAAAAAAGAGGAAAAAAGAAGGTGAGAAATGACAATTAGAAAATTTGTAAGATTATTATGATAGCAAGAAATGTTTCGGTCCAATAAGCTACAAGACGATAAGGTATTTCAATATGATCTGGGAGTCGCAAGCTCAGAGATGAGGTGGCGACACACAACATACATTAGGTGGCAAAAACCTTGCCAATTATTTTCTTTGGGAGAGTACTGAATCGGTCGGTAATCCCTTCAGGAAACAAAAGGAACGTCAGTATCGCAAGAACGCTGACTACCAGGCAAGGCAGCATTCGTCAAAACAAACGAAGAAAGAAAATGGTATGTCTGCTGGTTATTACACAAACGGTGAAACAGTGGTAAATCAGTAAGCCATTTCAAGTATCAAGCAAGTAAATCAGAATATGATCCAATAAGAAAGCCAAAAATGAAGCTACGGGCAAGTGATGAGCTTCACAAATGAAAAGTGTAAAAACTCTGCCAGCTGCGTTCCCGATGGAAATGAATATGTTTTCAAATGTAAACTTAGTAGAAAACGTACCGGCTGCCGGTACGAGGATGCGTTTTTTGCGCAGTTCCCCCCGCAGGTTTT